GCCTTATTCTTCAGTTAATTTTCTTTTGTATTTAAAATAATTATTTTGGCATTGCTCAGACAAACGAACAAGTGGTTTCTGGAGTGGAAACATATGTAACATTTCCCCCTTGGATAAATTGAGAGCACGAGATCTCAAGAGATAATATAATGGATCCTTGTAGCAAATGCAAGGATTTGCTTCAGGTGCTCATTTTTCCTTGGTCTCTTTTATTAAACAGCTCTAGACTTGTCTCTGCTTTCTCTCTTGCTCTTCCTGTCCAGTCTGCTTTATATTTTGCTGCATCTAGATAACCAAGAAAATTAATTTTGGATAGTATATGTAATACCTCTTACTAGTATAGTCTTATTTTAATTTTGAATTAAAAGATGCCCCACTTGAGCTCCTAAGGCATAGGCCTTATGAGACAATTTTTGCAGTTTGCCTCTGTCCCACTTAGGCCATTGCCCCCCTTTCATGCTCTGGATTCCTGGGTTTTGCTTTTTGTTTTAAATAGTGTTCAGTGTTTCTGGTGCATCCTGTGCTTTACGGCAGTAAAGAATTGATAGAGTTAAATACTGCCATTGTGTAAGCAGTCAGTTTCCTCTTAGTATAGACTGTGTGTTAGCCAAAATCATGACGTGATTGTTCAACTTGGATGTTGAAATGAGTGTCAGTTCAAAACTGCTTATGGTAATTCTGGGCATTACCTGGTCGATCATTAGAAGTCCACGTGGGTACCCATCAGGGTACTTCCTCTTCCAGAATTTTGAAAGACAGGAACTTCGTCTGGGTCAGGTCCTTAAATTACTGATAAAATGTGATATTTCTCTTCCTTCGAAGTACAATAAGTAGCTCTCAGTAAATGAAGTAAACAAATATAATATGAATATTGCATATATTAATAAATTGGATTTCACACACAACATTTTTGAGGTAATTATCTGATAGCTCGGAAAAATTGCTGTGTTCCAGCTGCACTGTGTAAGCAGTTTTTACATAACTTCATATATGTGGAGATGTGAGGGTTGTCAATGGCATTTATTCTGTAGAAGCAGTGGGGCACACTTCTAGGGCCTTTAAATGTTACATTTAAATCTGTTTTTCTTGCTTTAGAATAATCTGTGTGTGTGTGTGTAACTTATTCATGTAGGCTTGCACTGCAGTCTGCAAGATGATAAAGCTTGTCTTACTTGACAAGAATCAATATGCCTGTGGAGAAACTACTGTGGATTATAGTCATAAACCTGCGGTGCTTTCAGCAGTGCTGCTGCTTTAAGTCTGTTCAGAGTTTGTGGGCAGCTCCATTTAGTATTGGCTCTAGTGCAGGTGAGTCAGTCAGCAGCAAACTCCGGTTGCGCTGGATGCAGCGTGAGTAAGCGGCTGGAGCCAGGCTGGTTCAGAAGGAGGGGCAGGAGCCAATTCCTGTCTGCTCCTTATGTTGCTCTCTGTCTGTGCTAAGTGTGCACACGGGGTGCAGGACGGTGAGCTTTACTTCTGGTGCCCTTGATGGTTGGTGACTCCAGGTGCTGGGTAGCCTTGAGGAGGGGGCTTTGTACTCCCTGCTCTTGAAGCACATTGGACTGGCACCAGATGAAAGTGGGTGCTGTTGCAGAAGTGACAGGGCTGCCACCTTCATGTGTGGAGATTGGTATTTACAGCTGCACGGTGACACAGCCAGCCAGCCAAAAAAAGAATTGATTTGGCTGGTTTGCTTCCTTGATGTGCTCAGGAGCATGAAGGCAAGGCAGCAGGAGGAGCAAGTAGCAAGATTTTCCTTAGCAAGGACTTGCTTCTGAGTAAGGCAACTTAACTCTTAACAGCAAACCCCTTGTTAACTACCTTCACTGCTTTTCTAACAGCGGAGTAGTTATGCAGAGCTGGACTTTTCTTAACATGTGCAGGGTGAGGAATGCTTAAATCTTATTAGGAAAAAAAATCACAGAGCAGAGATGCTTATGGCACCTAGGCAAACTGGAATACAACTGGAAAGGTTCATTAGGAGACAGTAATCTGTGCACCATATCTTAATTACAATATTAATCTGATATGCCTTTCTAGGAAGGAGCAGAGCGTGAAGTTCCCTGAAGACTTTCCAGTTAACCTTCCTAATCTTCTGAAGTTCATTTTACATCACTCAAGTCTCTCTTCATCAGACCCCTGTACCAAAGACTGCCTGCATAAAGAGACAGCATTGCAGCAAGGCCACATCTCCCACTTGGAGAGAGAAATTCAGAAGTTAAGGGTGGAAATCAGCGCTCTACACCAGGCCCATGACAAGCTTGAAGAACAACTTTCTGAAGCTAGAAGAGAGGAACAGCGACTGCAGCAGCAAAAACATACCCTGGAAAAGCAGCACAGGACCCTGCAACTCCACAGTCAGCAGTTACAATCGACGTACGAGCAGAAGAACCAAGAGTTATTAGCGATGGCTGAAAAGCTTCAGGAATTAGCTGATGCATCTGAAAACCTCCTTAAGGAGAATACTTTGCTGAGAATCCTCATAGCATCAAAGGAAGGAAAACTACAGCTCAAAGATAAAACCAGAGACCCTGTTCAGTCAGAGCAAACACTTTCTGATGACAATGATGTATCAGTTCCAACGGCTGCCACCCCATTAGGGGAAAAAAGAACTGAAAATATTGATCCCACAGAGACAGAGCACAGTAATGAAAGCAGGACAGGATGATTGCTTACAAAGTCAAATTACAAGCTTGGGGAAGGTATTTATGCAAATTTTATTGAAATTCATTGTAAATAAAGACTTTTCTCTCAAATGACTTAAAAAATCAAAGGAAATATTTTTGTATAACTTGGAACAACGTATTAGATACCCCCATCAAAACAGAGGAGGAAAATGGAAAACACTTTCTGCACTTTACTATTGCACTAACTTGCAAACACCTATCCATTTCACCTAAAGATGATTTTTTTAATTTGTTTAAAGAACGGGCAGCACCATGAAGCACCTCTGATTAAGGACCAGTTCTTTTTCATGGGCTTCCTCTAACAGCTGCTGGAGGAAGTGTTAACTTAAGACTTTTGATTTATATTTTTCTGGTAATTTACGAAATTTGCCTTCTATGCTCTGCATTTTTTTGTTTGTTTGCAGAATTAAAATGGAGATATTTCATCTATGTAATTAGTAAACTTGAATGGACAAAATCATCTTGGTACAACTCTATTGCAGAATTTGTGTACTTTGTATCACTTTTGTACACCCTTTATATCGCTCTAAAGTCTTCAAGAGCCATGTGTGAACTGTTCTCTACTGAAACAAAACTAAAGAGAATACCTTACTGCATTATTCTGTTTCTCCTTGGGGTTAGGAGGTGTAGAATGCAGTAGTCCAAGTGGATGAGGCTGGCCCGACAGGCAAGTCACATGAGAATTGCATCTTATATAAGTGCTTATGCAACAGAGCAAGGACAGCCAGCTGTCAGCTGTGCCCCGTGCAGGAGGCAATTCCAGGAGCTTTTTGCTTACTGCCACTATTAGTTTTTCTTCAGGTTAGTCTCACCTTTAAAAAATACAGCCCTACAAATGCTAGTCAGTATTTTATTTCAAAGACTGCTGCCTCAGTCACAACTCCTCTCCTCACCACGTCTTGGGTAAGCTCAGTTTTTCCTTATGTGTTGGGAGCAGTCCTTGAATGCTTCCTCCAGCGCTGAACGCCTTGGACTTGCCCATTACTCGTAACTGATCTCAGAAGAAAGGGAGCATGTGGTGGAGCTGCTTGCTGGGCAGCCCAGTACTTGAAGCTTGACATCAGGCACCAAAAAGCTAAGTCCATCATCAAAGAAAGTGTTTTGGTGGCCAGGGCTGGGTTAGGCTAGACTCAGCACAGAGCTGCCTCTCCTGAGGGGTCTGGATCATAGAATCTCCCTTGGGTCCTTCAGTGTTGGCCCTTCCCTCCCTCCCCCCAACCACTGTCACAGAAATGTTAAAGGTAGAAGGGACAGTTGGAGATGACCTAGTCCAACCCCCCTGCACAAACAGGATTGCCTAGAGCACATTGCTCAGGATCACACCCACACAGCTTTTGAACTTTTTAATTTGGGGTCTAGAACTTACTAAATATGTCTTTACAGTTTTCATAGTTCAGTCTTAGCTCTGAGCAGGAAAGGAGATGTCCTTATGTGAAAGTACATCCCTGTTGCTAGCTTAAAACACAACATCAGTTCTCAGGAAAGACTTCTAAACTTATCTTGCAGTAGCCAAGATACATTAACTACTATATAGTTGAAAGTCTGGCTTTCATCTGAAGTGGTTTGTTACCTACAATAGCCTGTTATCTTGTTTACACACACCCTAACTGCTAAATACACAAAGGGCTTTAGAACTTCATAGTAGTAGTTTTTATGCCACTTTTATTAAGTAACCACTTGTGCAGTTTGAACATGCAGACACAGAGAAGGGGAAAAGCCTGCTCAACTGCCATGTACAACTCCTGGAACCTTCTGGACTGTCCCTGAGGGTTAGGTGTCCATCATTAGTTCCTAGGTTGGAATTTGAAAATGGCAGTTTCCTTGCAGTAGCCACATGATTGGAGAATTTGCAGTTCAAGCAACCAAAAAGCCTGACCTACCTAGCTGCAACTAAAGAAAAAAAATTATTCTTTCTTGCGGCTCTTGTGTTTCCTTCAAGATACCTGCCTTTCAAAGAAAGTACTCTGAATTAGTCCAATACTGCTAGACATGAGCAAGAGTTCTGGCTTTATGGCCACACACTCAGAAGTTAAGAGCAGACGCAAGCTTTAACTGCAGAGCTGGTTCTGCTGGGGTGCAGTCCCCTCGTGGATTGTGTACAGTTGCATGATGCTAGTCCCATACGCTGTGGAACACAAAGCAGAAGCTCCTGGCAGCCTATTTACAGTTCACAGTCCTAAAGTAGTTCACATTGCAGTAGTAGTTCCATCAAAACAGGCTCAGCTAAACATTCAAGTAAGAAAAATGCTATTAGTCTTCACACCAGTGTATCCCTGTCCATTGCCAGCAATGGACTTCACACCTCATGTCAGCTCCTGTCTTGGACGCCGCAGGAAATGCAGCTGATGCAAAGTGCAACTTCCAGTGCATGCAGTTGCAAATGAAGCTTATTTAAGCCTCGTCATGGTGTCTTTTGGTAAGCAGTGTGCATATGACCAAGCTCTTCACAGCAGAGGAGACTGCTGCTGGTTACACCCTTGCAAGCTTAGTCTATGTACATGGGTTGCTCCAAGTTAGCTATGCGCTTCTGTGCCGTTCGGAGCTAGCTTTGCTTTCCTCTCCACGCAAGGTCCTTTAGCAGAGTACTGCACCAGAAGGAAGGGCTCTTTGGTCTCTCCTTCTCCCACAATGCTTTCCTCATCCTCCGACTGGCTGATCCTCTGCAGACGCAGGTAACACCAGCAGCCCAGTATCAAGGCACCAAGAGCCGCGATAGCGATGAGGATGACGATGACCGTCACCACGCCGGTGGTGGGGCTGTGGTCTGTAATAGACATGGTCCCAGCCTCAGGCTCTCACACCTCTTACACAAGGTTCTTCACTCCTCTCTCAGTTCTGCTTCATCTTCCAGCTCCTGCAGTGGAAGAGAGACATGTGAAATTAGAGTCTTCCCATACTCAGAAACATTCATGTTCAGGGTTGATGTCCTTCATAACGGCACACAGGCCACTTTCATTCACCGTTTCAAACTTCTGATGTTCCTACATTTCTTGATCATTTTGTTTTAAGCTTAGTTATTCACCCAGTCCCTGAATATGCAAGTTCTACACTTAAAATTTATACCCTTGACTCGATCAAGACAGTGCACAATCAACCTATTAAGGGATGACAGTTCTTACTAGGAGGCGGCAGTATAAGATACATGGACTAATGCAGTTCCAAGAAACGCAGTAGAAAGAGTCCATAACAGAGCCGCCAATGAAGCCATGCAGGGTGTTGCTGTCTCAGAAGACACTAAACACATTTCAGACAGGTGGCTGCTCACACCAAGAACATCCCTAGATTGGCACAGGAAAATTACCTGCCAATCATGGAAGCAAAGTATTCCATTAATAATGCAAGTCTGGGGGAGAGTTTTAAGTTGATTTAATAGAAACACTTCCTTAAACACTTGCAACAGTTGCAGCATTTTAATCAATTAAAAAAGTAATGCTAAAAGATTTCAACAAATCTGTCCATAACACTAGTCTGTTTAGAAGAGCTGACTACGTGGCATTATTTTTTTTCCACTGGGCTGATACACACCAACAGATGTTCTTTCTATACATCGAGTTCCACTTGTCCCCCCCAAAAAAAGTAAAACTTTCCAAGATGCAAATACATACATATGAGGAATATCATCATTTTAAGCTTTTGCACTTCCCGGTGGGCAGAGGGTTTAAACTGAAGCTGGAACAGAAGCGATAGGCAGGAAAATGGAAGAGGAGGTGGTATGAAGAGACTGCCCCAGCATCCTGGGGAGTCCAGCAGGGAAGAGACATTCCCCATACACTTTGTGTCCTTCTGAATTCATAAATCCTTTATTTAAGGGGTGATGCGGGTCTTCCAAATTTCAAAGTTTTTGATTAAAAAAAAAAAAAATCCACCCACCACCGAAATCATCAGTAGCAGAACGAGCCGCCCATGGCAGCCCAGGAGGCGTAGGACTGTCATGGTCACCTTGCTCAGAAAGATTCAGCATCACAGGGGAAAACTCATGTGTTTCCCTCTCCCTGGACATGTCTGCCCTGCAGCGCTGGGAAGCGTTTGATGCAGCCACGATAACCCAGCACCGACACGAGAGCTGGTCACCTCGCTGCAGGCCCCGGCAGGCCTCGTTCCACCGGCGGAAGCGCTGGCTTCTCCACAGAAGTTTGGTTCAGCACTTACCCTTCTGTTAAAACTGAACAGTGAATGGGATCTAGAAAATGGCTTTATTTTTGCAAATGCTGCTTTTCTACAAGACTTCAGGTGAGGACACCATCAGCTGTGAAGGGATGGCTCTCTCCAACATCCCCACCCTCTGCACAGTCAACAGCTCCTGGCAAACTGCTGTTACCAGGCCGTGCCGAGAACAACCAGCGAGCAGGTACAGGCCTTTGTGGGCAGCATTAAGAAACCAGTCTGAGAGCAAGAGCTAGATGCTACAGCCAGATAGCCGAGAACTCACATCCATCCTGCAATACTTCATATTTTTCCCCTTCTCCTTTTAAAGGGAGTGCAAACTACCATGCTCTCAGATCATCCTGGATAATACAGACCTAGCTGCATTAGTCTGTAAGACAGTGCTTAAGTTTCTGAGGGACAACTAAAGCTCTTCTGGCATATTTAAGAATATGATGACAGCTCAACTGTGACAGCTCCAAGTCAAATAATATTGTTTAAAGTAATTTTAATTATGGTCTAAGGTATCATTCATATTTAATACTATCAACTAACTAGAAAAGCTCTTTTGAGCAGACTGATATATTAACAGTAGTAGACATAAACACAGAAGTTGCAGGACTTGTCTTTGAGCAGGATGTTATACAAGAATCCTCCTCTGTTTACATTTGGAAGTCATTTCCAGCTGGGCTAGGCTCTCATGTCTGAAGTGATGTTTTTCTGATATGTCAAGGTGAAGAACTAGGAGCTCTAGATGCACAAGAGTGATTTACCCTTAACAGTCCAAACTTTCAGTGTATACAGCTACTTAGCCCCAGATGCACGAATACAACTCTCTCTAGATGTATTATCCATGTAATTCCATTTCTCTAGAGAGAGAGAAAAAAAAAAAAAAAAAAAAAAAAAAAACGATTTCATTAATACTGCCAGGATAATCTGGTTGCCTGAAGAAGCCCTGTCCAGAAAGCTCCTCACATCTTTGTACTTAATGTCCAGAGTTAGGCAAGAGCAGCAGCCTACCTGTGCTTGGGAACATGTGCACATAGACATTCACCTTCCAGGAAAACAAAACATGGATGAAACTCAAGGTCAGTGTCTCCGAACAGCTCCCCCGGCTCCCCACCTCTATCGTACGACGGCAAGCACAGAAGTCAGCCTCTGCACGGGCCCAGCCTCCAACTCCCTTTTGTGGGGGCTCATGCCAGCACCCTACATAAAACCAGGTATTAAGCCTCTGTACAGCTTTTCCGTATTTAAAGCACCTTGTCAATGGTGCATGATAGTACCTGGGATGGGAGCAGTGAGTGCTATTTTATCACCTTCAGATGCAGCTTTGTTTGTTTCCCCCCCCCCTTTTTTTTAAAAAAAAAAAAAAAAAAGTTTAGGTCACTGTATACCTAGAGAATAACCATAGCTCCAGTTCTGTACTTCGGTGTGGTACATCTGCATGTTTTAGCTATACCTTTACAAGCTACCACAAGGCCTTTCATTTCTTTGTTATATTTTCTAGACACGTAACTCTAAACTCACACCTCTTTCCAGCACTAGCTGATTTAGAACAAAATTAAGCTGCCTTCAGAGTCCATTTCTAGGCTGCAGATATAGTGCATTCTGCCGAGCGCCTTAAACTCTGGGACGTCCTGACTGGCTTATACTTATTCCTAACCACGTTCTTAACCTTATTAACATCAGCAAAGCTCTTCAACACACCAGGAGCAGCACTGGCTTCGCTCACCACCTCCTTAGGTGTGAAGAGAGCAATTCCACTGGATTTACAGCTCCATCCACTCATACTTGGTGGCATCCCTAGTGCCAATTCCCTTGCCACCCCCCTTTCTATCAAAGCATAGATCTGGGCAGGATTGGCAAGACTTGCTAATTTCCTAATGACTCTTCCTAGACTCATTAGCACAATTAGTCAGAGTCACTGTGGTAAGTGCACATAGCCAGCTCGGTTCTTGCTGCAGTCAGGCACTGGAAACACCAACTGGCCAAGTCATTTAAGCTGAACATCACTTCCACTAGGAACTTTTCCCTAGTTTTAATAAGGAATTCAGAAACTATAAAGCAAGGACAAACAGGAAACCAGTTCAAATTTCAGGATGTCACTGGAGACAAGTTCTACGCAAGGCCAGCTTGATAGCTTCTAAATGCCTTTTGTCAGACGCTGCTGAGTTGATTACAGTTAATACCTGAGGAATATTTCTGAAGAATTACTGCTACATTAGAAGCCAGAGCTATAGGAAGAAGCTACAAAAGCAAATCCAATGCAGTGCACACAGATGTCCTAA